GTCCTCATGGCAACAGAGAACACCCAGCTCGATTCTGCCTCCAGCTTTGAGATTTAAGGTTTATTGAGCTGCTGGGTGGGCAGTTTTTGAAGAGAGCCTTTGCTTTTTCTTTCTTGGCTCTTCGCAACTGGTTAAATACAGGAAGTAAGATCACATTATTATTATTATTATTCACTAAGTTCCATGCGTTAGGCAATTTCTAAGACCCGATTATTTCGTTCTTGCTGTGTTCATATGCATACATGCACAGAGTTGAAAGATGTTTATCAATAGCTCCTTTGAGAGAGCTGCTTCAGCGCTCAGGATGGTAGGTGTGACATCTTATATAGCACGGAGGCCACGCACTATTCTATCTATAGCGGAGCTGCTTTTCTCTCAGTTTGAAGCCACTGCCAGGGAGAAGCACTAGAGATGCCTTCTCTGCACAGCTCCTTCACACATTTCTCTCATTGCCAGTTGAATTCAGGTTACAAATGAGGGAGGCAGGCCAAGCACTCGCAGGAAAATGCACTCTGGGCTAATACGCATTTAGTAGCCAGAGTTTCAGTGTGTGCATTGAAGGGCACACAGCTCCTTGGTAATACAATTATCAAAGATTGTGCTTTGCTTCTTACAGAATGTGGGTGTTTTGCCCTAGGCGTGATCCAAGCAGAGACAATGGTACTTGATTTACAGGAGCTTTCAATCTAAGAAAACAGGAGGTGTTCTGAGCAGTTTTTTAGTGTGCTCAGGCTGCCAGGGCACAGTACTCTAGCTTGCCTGTTGAACAACATAACTTCATTTTCTTACAGTTCTAGAGCATGGAAGTCAGGTCAGGATAGTGAGGTTGGGTCCTGATGGGGCCTTTTCTTCGCTTGTAAGCAGCTGCCTTTCTTTGCATCCTGACACAGTGTGTTTTGGGAAACAGGGAAACAGCTTATCTCACTTTCTTGTAAATTGAAGCACACTTTAGGTAGCTACTGGCTACTGAAGGCATCAAAGGTCACGAGGCTCATCTCCAGGCAGAGGGGTTATCTCCAGTCAGCAGAGCACTCATGATTACTTTTGGCATAGCTGGTGTTATGGGTCGATCAGCATTTCCTAAGAGGGCACGTTCAACCATTAACTCTGGTATCTGTAAATGTGATCTTATTTGGAACACATCTGCACGTGTGAGGTGATTCATATATGACTCAACATACCTGGCTTCCTTAGAAGGAGAGACCATGAGGGGCTGGGGAGATGGCTGAGTGAGTGAGGTACTCTCTGGGCAAGCTCAAGTTCTTGAGTTGGATTCCTAGAACCCATGTGAAAAATTCAAGGATAGTATGCGCTTGTCATCTCAGTGCTAAGAGGTGGTGATAGGTAGGTTCTTGGGGTTCACTGGTCAGCCAGCCTGGCCTAGAATTACAGGCCAGTGAGAAACCCTGATTAAAAAAAATGGTGTCTGAGGTATGATACCTAAGGTTGATACAGATCTGGCCTCTACATGTATACACACAGATTTGCATGAACACACACACACACACACACACACACACACACACACACACACCAGAGAGAGAGAGAGAGAGAGAGAGAGAGAGAGAGAGAGAAAGAGAATCCCAAAGAAGACAAAGATAAACACACATGCTTGGTGATGCAGGCAGAGATGAGAGTGATACATGTATAAGCCAAGGGACCCAAGAGTGCCAGCAGCTCCTGGTAGTGGGTAAAAGGCACAGAACTTCCTACAGTCTTTAGAGAACACAGCTCCATCTACACTTGGCATTGACTTCTAGGCCTCCTGGATGGTGAAAGCACATGTATTAAGCCACTCCATTTGTGGTAATTTCTTGTGGTCCATCCACTAGGAAAAAAAATCATTGGTTGGTGCAAAGGTTCTCAACCTATGCATGGCGACCCATTTTGTGGTTGATTGACTCTTTAGCAGGGGTTGCCTAAGACCATCAGAAAACACGAGATATTTACATTATGATTCATAACAGTAGCGAAATTACAGTTATGAAGTAGCAACGAAAACAATTTAATGCTTGGGGGTCACTACAACATGAGAAACTGTATTAAAGGGTCATAGCATTGGGAAGGATGAGAACTACTGGGTTAGTGAAACAAAAGCGGAAGCAGCTGCGGATGCTGCATCTTCCGAGCTTACTCACCATCCCTCTCAGAAGGGAATTTATCATAGTTCTGCAGCACGGAATTGCTGAAGCCATGTTGAAAGCGAAGAAGCTAATCCTGAGGACCAAGGCCAATGTGGAGGGCCTGCTGGGACAGAATGTATAGGCTTATGATGACACCAGCAGACTGCTGAGCTGAGTTACACAATAAGATAACACAATTTGCACACTCTAGGGAGTTTAGCTACATTTGTGTTCTCCTGGCTGTCTATTTTTTTTTTTTTTTTGATTATTTGTTTGAGACAGGGCCTAACTCTGTAGCTCAGGATGGCCTTGAATGTTTCATCTTCAAGCAAGGGACAAACCAGGCACACCCCTGGCACAAAAACATCTTTGATAATCTTCAGGAACAGTGGTGTGGAGAGGAAATTGCTGAAGTCAGAAAATCTTTCTCCTGTCAGTGACCTAGTGGCCATCATTCCCAGTAAGTCTTATGCAGAGAAGCCGATCCCTGGAAAGGCATACCGTGACTAGCCAGCCTCGGGTTTCTGTAAAAGCTTCTTCCTGGTAGAGTGGATTGGACATTTGGGCTCTGGGGTTGTCCTGGCGTTGTGTGCTTCCTCTCTCGGAAGTACACACAGTCCATCTTCCTGCTTTGCCTAGTGGCTCTCTCTGCTTATACTCTGGGATCACCATGGCCTTGGGAGAAGTCTACTTGATCCGAAAGTCAGGGTCGGGGCTGCTCTCAGGCTTTCTGGGCCCCTTGCACTTGTGCACCCAGCATTTGTATCACAACATCCTGACGACTGGTGCTACCTCTCACTAGACTCCAAGGCGGCTGTTCTCAACCTTCGGGTTGAGATCCCCTTTGGGATTGCAGGTCAGATATCCTACACATCAGGTGTTTATATCACGACTCAGAACAGTGGCAACATTAGCCACAAGGGAGCAATGAAATACTTTCATGGTTGGGGGTCACCACAACATGAGGAAGTGGATCAAAGGGTCACAGCACTGGGAAGTTGAGAATCACTGCATGAGGGCCAGATACTGGGGGCATCTTGTTTACGGTTTACATCTTGTTTACTGGTTACGTTCTGCTGCTGTGACAGAACACCTGACCAAGGCAGCACCAGGGAGGTTTTATTTTGGCTCACAGTTTTAGCATGACACCCTTGTTGTGGCAACAGACGTGTGGGGCCTTTCATCATACTGTGCCTGCAGTTAGGAAACAGAGAGATGAATCCTAGTGCTCAGTTGGCTTTAAAAAACATTTTTTTTTTTAATTCACCCTGGGATCCCAGCCACATTTAGCGTGGGTCTTTCCATCTCAATTAATACACACAGTAGAAAATCCCTCACAGGCAATCCCAGAGGTTTGTTCCTAGGTGTGCGAGGTCCTGTCAAGTCGATGTCGGTAATAACCACAAATCACACTGTTAAAAGCATAATCAACACAGTACAGTATATCAAGTAAGTGAAGCTAAAATACATGGCAATTGCAGCAGCCGGTAGTAGGCACTTTGCTGCTTTGGCCCAGGACTTGGGCAGAGCATCAGTAATGCACAGAGAAGAAAAGACAGTCTTGTCTCTGGTTCTGGGTGCCATTTGGAATTTTCCATATTCTTTACCTTTCTTCTACTCTAGTTCCCTTGAATATTCTCTGGGTCTAGGATTTATTTTCTCCCTTGCATGCAGAAAAACAACAACAATAACAACAACAACAACAAAACGAGTTACCTAAGAGTGGTCAACTAATCTAATTATTCTCCTGTGGAAAAAACACAGAGCTTTAAATCCTAGTAAAGACCAAGTGAACTAATGTCTCTAGCAACTCCCTCAGGTATTACAGGGGAGAACTTTAGAGGGTAAGAAGTGGGGTACAAATGGGGTTTTCGGTACCTTTAAACCACCGTAGTCGGTGTTTTCCTTCTTTAGTCTCTGGTTTCTGGATAGTCACCCTATCTTTGATATTAGTTAATATCTTTGATATTAGAAAAATATTTCCTATGGTGTGGTGTTGACTTAACCTAAGGTCATTTATTCCTCGAGACTCGCTATGTATTTGTATTTGTTGATTTTCTTTCGGGATAAATCATGCAACGCTCCATCAGATAGAAAGTTCAAAGCTTTTTTTTTTTTTTTCCTACTGTGAAGGTTAGTATTCATTGAACACAAAGGTGATTTCTATCTGAGCACCAAATGTGTTAAGCATGAGGTCCCATTCTAGGAGAACCTATTGTCCAGTAGAGGTGCACATCTACGAATACATTAGTACCTCAAATAACTTTAACTGTTAGGAATAAAATCAAGAGACTGTTGGGTAGAGAATGAAGTGAACATTTGAAGTGAGAAATAAGAGAAGAGAAGAAGGAATGAGAAGAGATGGCTCAGCGATTAAGAACATGTGCTGCTCTTCCAGGGGACCCAAGTCCGGTTCCTAGCTCTCACTCACCGCTGTTTGTTAACTCCAGCTCCGGCAGATACTAAGCCTCTGGCCTCCAAGAGCACCTGCACTCACAAGTACATACCAACACAGGAGGCAGAGGCAGGAAGCAGGAATCAAGGTTTCAGGACAGGCAGGATTACACAGAGAAACCCTGTCTTGAAACAACAACAAAAGCAACTTGCAAAAAAGAGAGAAAAGAAAAACAAAAAAACTTCAGGCCGCGTAAATGGGGTCATATTCACCTTATGCCAGCTAAAAATAAACTCCAATCTCTTCAACCGCAGGACGGATGCGGAGGCTGAACCGCCTCCCTGCCAGCACTAAGGATGGCTAAGGAGAGGGCGGAGCGTGCGCGTCCCCGATTGGCCAGCCACAGGATGACGTCACGAGACGGCGGTGCCTCCGGGCTCCGGTGACTCCCAGGGAAGAGCGGCGCCGGCGGAGAACCCGCAGCCGGGCACTGGGCGGCCGGGCGCGGACGGGGCCGGTGGGGACCGGGCGCCTCGTGGCCGAGCATGGCGGGCTCGCTGCCTCCCTGCGTGGTTGACTGCGGCACCGGGTAAGAGCCGCGCCCCATCGCGCCCACTTATGCCTCGCCGGGCTCCTGGAGCCATTTCCCCGCGGGGTCACACGGCGGGAGGAGCGCGGAGGGATGGAGCTCAGCCTGAGGGCGTGAGGAGTTTGAGGGGTAGGGCTCGGCCTGGGGGTACGGTTCTCAGTCTGGGGGAGGGACAGCTGAGGGCTGGGCGCTGAGGGGATGCTGCTGCGGATGCTCTCGCGGCAGGCCTTGCCCCCCGGGAGCTCGCGTTGGGCCCCCGCCCCCCTCCACCGTGGTGCCTGTCACCTGTCCTGATGCTGGGCGCTCACGCGCGTGTCACCTTTCCCTGCTGCTGTACCAACCACCTACTCGCGGAGAGGTTTACACATGCCCTGCCAACTTGATACCCTGTCCCCCTTCCCACTCTGCTCTTTTCCACTCCGAAGTGGCACAGCCAAGCTCAGCCCCTGCTTTGGATTGCATACACTCGCCTTTGCCCTTAAAACACAGCACCAACAACGCATTGAAAAAAGACTTCCATTTTGAAAAAAAACAGTTTAAATTTGGGGTTTGTTTTCTCCTTTTTTGGGGGGGGGGGGGGGGGGGGGGGGCTAGCTCTTTTCTTTTTTGAAGATGTTACTTTTTCAGAAGAGACCTCATAAAATGTTTTGCGCTGTCAGTGGCCAGGCTTAGCTGACTTTAGGAACGGTGGCAGCAGAACCCTCCAACCTGGGAGTTTTGGGAATACTTGCTGGCATTGCCGACAGAGTACTTCATAAATAGCTTGCAAATAAATTTAGCCTCTTAAAATGTTTTCCAAGGGATGGTAGCACCTTGTCACCAGATATTCTGTTGCATGCTCTTTTTACCTGCAGTTCTTTTTCTGTAGGAAAATATACTTGGTTTGGTTTCCTTGGCAACCTTGTGGGGGTGTCTTCTAATTTGTTACAGCCCATCTCCTACTGATAGGTCTTTCCTTTTGTTGCTCGGGGACCAGCAGTGGTTACAGTCTGGAAAACATTTTTTTTTTTTATTTGTGCTAATTTTTCTTTTGGAAATAAACGTTATAGAGAAGTTTTGTGGCCATGTATTTGAGGATTTGCTTAGTACTCCAAACACAAGCTCAAATCAGTACTGCTATTACAGCCCCACTCTCCGTTTGCTGGCTCCCCTCGGCGCGTCTCATGCTACAACTGGCATTCCCTGGTAGTGTCAGGAATGAGGGCAAGATGTAAAAGTTGATCTCATTTTAATGTCCGCATGTGAGATTTTTGTTTTTGTCTTTTCGTTGTTGTTGCCCAGACTGCTGAAATATAAAGCATTGCATAGTCATAGCAGTAAAGCAGTGCTCCTTGAGTCTCTCTGTGCTTTATTTCGTATGAGGAAGCAGAGATCTTGTCCATTGTTCTTGCTGTAGATATGTGAATTGTGCTCAGTGTTGACCTTCTGAAGTGAGTGATTAATGTTACTTTCACCTTCAGTAGAACATCATGGCCCAGAGCTGTGCTGCAGGCTCTCATAGGTTTTGGACACAGTGATGGGGAATCCTGGGGGTTTCCTGGGGGTGTTTTCTGCCATAGAAGCCCCCGTGCTTCCCTAGGGCCCAGTGTGTGAACAGAAGGAAGACTGCATACCCTAAACTTACAAGCTTCCATGCATTAGTAATAATTTCTCATGTTTCTTAGAGAGCTTAGTCATTTTGCAATGAGATGTAAAATGCAGCTAAAAATAACAAGGATTGAGGAATAAAATAGACTCAGGAGATCACAGTTGACACTATGAAATGGACAGGTTTTTTGTTTTGTGTTTTTGATGGTGGTGGACATTGAAGCCTCTCTATCTCCCCCACCCCCCATAGAATCTTCTCATTTCATAACCCAAACTTGCACTTGACTTGGGAAATCCTCCTGTCTCAGTCTCCCAAGTGTTAGGATTACAGGTGTGAGCCACCATACCCATCTGGCTTGTGTTTTATAGCAAATACGTTTCTTCTGGTGTCCTAAAATCCGAGAAACCCTCAGAACAACTGAGTGTGCACGGGGCCAGGGTAGCAATAGACAAGGGGACCTTTGCCATCCAGAAATTAAGTTTCAGCTCCTTAAAGGATGACCAGGCTTGCTGCTCTCCCAGAGAAAACACCTCAAATCCAGCCTCATAGCTCAACCAAACGTTTAAAGTAGTTCCATACGGTTAAGCCAATTTTGAAATAATTCCAAGTCTGCTGAAGACTGGGAGAGAACAAAATCCAGTATGTGCTCTTCCGTTTTAGCAGCTTTTAACATGTGTTGTGCCATTTTATGTTCCTGTATTCGTTGTTAGTTCTCTGAGCTGTTTAAGCGAAGGGTGTAGGCAACATCCTCTTATGCATTCCAGTGTCTACTTTTTGAGTGAGAGTAAGGATTTATAAATAACCACAGACCAGATACTAAGGTCAGAAAAATTAACACTTACGCGGTAGGACTGTTCTGTCTGCAATCCAGACTCATGAGCAGTTTCATTTCTTTTTCTTTTCTTTTCTTTTTTCTTTTTTTTTTTTTGGAGTCTAACCCTGTCTACTCTTGCATCATGCATTGCATTTGGTGATTTGGTGGTCATCCGCCCCTCCCCCCTTTTTTTTAAAGGGATGAGGTGAGGGTGCTGGTATGTAGCCCCTGCTTCAGCCTCCGGAGTGCGGGGATTATAGGCATGTGCTGCCACACCTAGTCATTATGTCATTTATGTTCCATGTTTTTTGGAATAGTTCCTCAATCAATTTTTTGTCTCTCAAGAAGATATGGTCATTTTGATAGTTCTGTATTGTGTCCTTCGGTTTTGGCAGTCTCGTGTTCCTTGTGGATAGAGGTTATGCAGTCCTGTAAGGGCTGCTATAGAATAGCATTGCTTTTTCCTAGTGTATCCCATCAAAAATCCTAGGATAGTCATATGCCACGATCTCCGCCTCCTCCTCCTCTTCCTTTTCCCCCTCTTCTTCTTTTGGTTTTTCTAGACTGTGTGGCTTTGGTTGTCCTGGACTCGCTTTGCAGACCAGGCTGCCTGCCTCTTTTTTGTAGATCTGCCTGCCTCTGCCTCCCTGAGTGCTAGGATTAAAGGCACATGCCACCACCCCTGGCTTACCTCATTCTTTTAAAAGTGGCCTGTTAGTTAGGTTCTCATTGCTGTGAAGAGACACCATGACCATGGCAACTCTTATAAAGGAAAACATTTAATTGGGGCTGACTTCCAGTTTCCAAGGTTTAGTGCGTTATCGTCAGGGCAAGAAGCATGGCAGCCTGTAGGAAGACCCGGTGCTAGAGAAGGGCTGAAGGTTCTGCATCTTGATCCATAGTCAGCAAAAGGAGTCTAAGCCACACATATAGCGTGAGCATATGATACCTCAAAGCCTACAACTGTACTTCCCCCAACAAGGCCACACCTCCTAATAGTGCCACTCCCTATGGGCCAAGCAGATGAGTCTGTGGGGGGGGGGGGGCGTTCCTATTCTAACCACCACAAGTGGTGGATTTAAAAAAAAAATGTTTGAGACAGGGTTTCTCTGTGTAGCCTTGGCTGTTTGGCTGTCCTGGACTCATTTTGTAGACCAGGCTGGCCTTGAATTCAGAGATCCACAAGCCTCCGCCTCCTGAGTGCTGGGATTAAAGGCACCAACATCCAGCTTAAAAGTGTTTTTTAAATTAGTATATACTAACTGCACATAATAATTAGTTTTATTATGGTACTTTCAGACATCTACAGAATGGATTTTAGGGCTGAAGAGTTGGCTCAGCCTTTAAAGGCTAAGCTCACAACCAGAGAGACAAGAGTTTGGCTTCCAGAATATGTTTGAATCATATTTGCCTCCCCTGGTAACCCTCTCTTGTCCCCTTGGCATTCCTTCCTGCTAGTCCCCTTGGTCTCCCCAAATCGCCCCACTTTTACATCCATGCATTTTGTGGTGGCAAGGTGGGGGGGGCAGTGAGTTTCATAAAGTTGTTTAGAGAAGCCTGGCACCTTAACTAGTGCTACACCACTATAGAAAATGCTCCCCCACCCCCACCCCCTCACCGCTGACCACCGAAACCAAAGAGGCTCCTGAGCAAAACTGGCAGCAGGCCGCATGTCTGGACGCAGACAAGTCATGAGATGATTCCAGCAGACAAACAGCCGGCGGTGGTGGACAACCAGTGGCTGTGTGACTGCCTATGTCGCTTAGGGACCCTCAGGCGCTCGTCCCGGTCCTGAGATTTTCATTCAGTAACGGATGGCTTCTGGCAGGAGTTTTATCTACAAATGTGGGTTGCCTCTGGGTTTCATACTCTTTTCAAATTAATTTTTAGTTTTAAAAAAGATTTAGTTCTTTTTATTTTTATCACGTGTGTGAGTGTTTTGTCTGCATGTAGGTATGTGTTCCACATGCACTCCTGGGGCCTGTGGAGCCCTGAGAGGGTGTTTCATTCCCTGGAACCAATAACAGATGGTTCTGAGCCTTTATGTGGGTGCTGAGAATTAAACCCTGGCCCTCTGGAAGAGCAGCAAGTGCTCTTAACCAATGAACAAGGCCCAAATTTTGTAAATGTTTTTTGGGACAGGGTCTCACTCTGTAGCCCAGGTTTCCCTCTAACTCATGAAGATCCAGATGTCATTGGCTGACTCCCAATGCTGGGATTATAAGGTGGGTGTCACTGCACCAAGCTGTTTTTAATTTGTCAAATATTGGATTTTCTTGGGGGCATTTTCATACATCCATAGTTTTGGTTGGCCCTATCCTTCCTCTCCTATCTCTCTGCCTCTCCTTCCTGAGTAACCCATTGAACACCCTGGCATTCTTCCTCTGTATCACACGAGTTCCTCCGCCCGTCTCACCATGTAATTCTTTTTTCCCTTCTCATGGTTCCCCTTCTGATTTTCTGGGCTTTATACATACTCCCATATAAATGCGTATATAAAAGTTAGAAGCTAGGACCAGAATTTTAGAGATCGTGTGTTATTTGTCATTCTGAGCCTGGATTGTTTCACTTAATAGTTTTTAGTTCCATACATTTTAA